TGAAGGCAAAATTAGCAGCAGTGGAGACACATGCCTGTGGTCCCAGCTACTTGGCAGGCTGAGTGGGGAGTCGCTTGGAGCCCGGGAGATTGATGCTGCAGTGGCTGTGAGATTGCACCCACTGCTCTCCAGCCTAGGTGACAGAGTAAGAACTGTCTCCAAAAAAAAAAAAAAAATGGTGAATGGTTTTAATCAGAGTCCACTGGGCCAGGCACGGTGGCTCACGCCTGTAATCCAGCCAGCCTTTGGAGGCCCAAGGCGGCGTGATCACGGGGTGGGGATAGAGACCATCCTGGCTACCGGGTGAACCCTTGTCTCTACTAAAAAATACAAAATTGGCCGGGCGAGGTGCGGCTGTAGTCCCAGGCTCTTGGGAGGCTGAAGGCGGGGAATTGGTGGTGAACCCAGGAGGTGGAGCTGCGTGGTGAGCCGTGATTGACCACTGCACTCCAGCCTGACGGGCACAGGAGTGAGACACTGTTCAAAAATATAAAATTAAAAAATACATCGGCCGGGCGGCTGGGCTCACGCCTGTATCCGCCATCTTCTGGGCGGAGCGGCGGGATCAGGAGGTCAGGAGATCGGGACCATCCTGGCTAGCACGGTGACATCCCGTCTCTACTAAAAGATGCAAAAAATTAGCCGGCGAGGGGCGTGCGGCGGCGCTGTAGTTCCCAGTACTCGGGGGCTGAGGCCTGAGTGGAGATGATGGCGGTGAACGCCGTGAGGGCTGAGGTGAGCCGAGTATTTTCGTGCGCCATGCACTTCCGAGGCGCTGGGTGCGACTAAGCGAGACTCTGTTCTTCAACAAAAAAAAAAAAAAAACATCAGAGTCTACTGTGCCCAATACCTGGTGCCTGTCACAGCCAAGGTACTGAAAAGGTTGCAAATATGTAAGTAAAACCCTATACTAGGCTCATAAACTTGTGGAATTGTTATTTTTAGTGATGTTATTGATGACTTAATTCATTTTATTTGTAATGATAGCCTTTTCCGTGGTTGATCAGTTAAGAACTGGTTACATGGCATCTCAATGTCTGCAGCGTGTCCAGTCCAATTCGATAACCATTTGAATCCCAGAGTTGTGGACAATCGTCATTGACAATTTATGACTCACAAAATGGCAAAAACATTAAGGATACCTTAGGCTAATTTGAAACTGAGCAGAATATAAGGAATTCCATTACTTTATTTGTGGATTACTTTTGTTAACTAGGCAACGATGACATCATAGATGCCCTGAAGATACCTGGAGTTAGGTCAGGCCATTGTCAAATTAACTTTATGATTTACATGGGCCCTGCGTGTTGGAGCATATTCTCTTTCTCTCTTACCCAGCTTTGTAACAAGCAGAACCTACTTTTTAGTGAAATGCATGATGGCTTCCTTGTCTTATGACTTCCTTAATTATAGTTTTATTCCTTCTGTAGCTACTTTCTTTTATGGTTCAGGTAAAAGTCTTTCTTTAGTAGAAGAGAAAAAGAGAATTTAAAAATAAAAGGTCTCTAACCCTATTATTTGCATCAGTGTTTCTCCAAGTTGGACTTTGGGGAGCAGGGAAGCAGTTGCTGCAGGGAGAATGATGGCCATGAGCTTTCTGGGTTGTATCAGCGAAATCTTCTCTGGTCCTTCTTCCACCTGCCTGTTGTCCATGGCTGGACCCATTTATGGAGCTGGACAAAACCATCCAGCAGGTTCACCTGCTACCTCTCCTGCTTGTCTGTCCCCATTAGTATCTCCTCCGGCTTTGGAGTCATGCAGCCTTGTGCTGATGTCAACCACATATTGGTCATGAAACCCTAGGAAAGTTATTTAATCTGTCTGAGCCTCATTTTTCTCATTCATCTAAAGGGAAAATAGGCCTGACTTTCAGGGTTCTGATGGATATCCAATAAAATAGCATGGTGTAAGTGCCCAGCGACATGCCTAGAGCATAGTAAGCGCTCCACAAATGTGAGTTCCCCTCCTGTCAGCCGCTTCTTCACACAGAGCTGTTCTGACAGTGTGCAAAGGAGGGTCTGATTTATGGCTTGAAGTCATGGGGGAGCTCTCTGGTTAGGAGATGAGAGTGAAGCAGGCGAAGTTCAGGCATTTTCATGCCATTCAAGGTCTTTTGACTGTGCTTTTGACTAACTTAATTCCCAAACTTGACAGGCAAAAGAAACGGAACTAAGTAAACTCATCTCTTCTAAGGCTTTTTATCCCAGCTGCTGCCTTGAGAAGGTTCTTGCTATTTCAGAGAAGAGCAATCATGACACCAAACAGTCATTATCCTGCCCAGTTATCTCAGAACCCACGTTGCCTGGGTAGCAGTGGCTCCAAAACAAAGAAATACTGAGAGATTTGTCAATTCTGAGAAACTAATTTGACTTACGTTAGCCAAGAGCCAGGTTTTCATTTTATTGAATAGACCTTTTCCTTCACTAATTGGCTCTCCATTTTGTGAATGTGGCTGGGCAAAGAGGGTCAGACGTGGGCCCTGCTTGGTTTGCAATTCATCTAGAGGCTTTCCTAAAACATCAGGCACCCCCAGCTTCCTGTTGAAGCCAACAGGCTTTCAACAGCCTCTTTGTTGACGCCTTTCCATAAGAATTATGTCTGAGCTTGCTCTAGGAAACATTCCAGGTCCACTCTTATTTATGAGGGCATTTTCCAGTTTCAGCATGTAAGGTGCTTGGTACATTAGCCTTAATCCTCAGGATTCTTCATTCTTCAATAAACACAGAGCCAGGAGCAATGGCTCATACCTCTATCCCAGCTACTTGGGAGGCTGAGGTGGGAGGATTGCTTGAGACCAAGTGTTCAAGACCATCTTGGGCAACACAGCAACATACTATCTCTAAAAAGGAAATTTAAAAAAATAGGTAGATAGGCAACCAGACAGACAGAATGTGCCTTTATGGTCCAGGGGTCAAATTTGGTACAAAGACATGAGTTTATTTTCCTTTGTTTATCCCCATTTTTATTATTAAATTATTTATACCGCAAAGTTGAAAGACTTTTACAGTGAACCCTCATAGCCCCTATTCAACCATTAACATTTTACTATACTTGGCTTATCACATACACTTGGTTTATCCATCTACCCCTCCCTCTAGCCATCCATCAATCTTTATTTTTTGATACATTTCAAATTAATTTGCAGACATCAGTATACTTCCTCCTAAATATTTCAGTGTGCTAGAATAAGAAATGCAGTTCAGGTGCAGTGGCTTATACCTGTAATCCCAGCACTTTGGGAGGCTGAAGTGGGAGGATCACTTGAGCCCAGGAATTTGAGACGAGCTTGAGCAACAACATAGTGAAACCCCACCTCTACAGAAAATTAAAAATAAGAAAATGTTAGCTGAGCATGATGGCACGTGCTTGTGGTCCCAGCTACTTAGGAGACTGAAGTGGGAAAATCGCTTGAGCTTGGGAGGTCAAGACTGCAGTGAGTGGAGATCATGCTACCTGGGTAACAGAGCAAGACCCCTTCTCAAAAAAACTGTTTTAATAATCACTATAAAATTAATTAAAAAGAGAAATACACAGATTTAAAATGTACATTCATTGAGTTTTGACCAATGCATGCACCTGTGTAACCCAAACCTCTATCAATAGAGCACTGCTACCCCCAGACAGTTTCCTCATACCCCTTGTAAGTCCCCATCTGCAGAAGCAAGCACCCTTCTGAATTTTTCTACCATTAATTAGTTTTGTCTGTTCTAGAATATCATATAAATGGAATCATTAGGTTGTTCTTTTTTTCTATATACTTCTTTCACTCACTATAATGTTTTTGAGATTTATCCAAGTTGTTGCATGTATCAGTAATGTCTTCCTTTGTATTGCTAAGTAGTATTCCATTCTATGAATATATCACAGTTTATCTATTCTCATTTTGATGGATGCTTGGCTTGTTTCAAGTTTCCTAGTTAACATGATAAAGCTGCTAAGAACATACCTAGGCAAGTCTTTTTTCATTTCTCTTGGGTAAATACCTAGGAGTAGAATTTCTGGGTCATAGGATAGGCATATATTTGGTTTGATAATAAATTATCAAAATTTTTCTGAAGCAATTGTACCATCTCCCACCAACAATGTATTAATATTAATATGAGAGTTCCGGTAACTCTAAATCTTAGCCAACATTTAATGTTATCAGTCAGCCATTCTGATGGGTGTATAGTGGTACCTCATTGTGGTTTTAATTTGCATTTTCCTGTTAATGAATGATGTAAAGCACTTTTCCATTATATGGTGATTTTATTAAAAATTTAATTAACATACCATTGTTTAAAAATCAAGAGTTTTACATAAGGATCCTAATTCTCAGCTGTTCATGAAATATTAAAGGACCTAGCAAAACTGGGCTCATATTTCCACATGGGAACAATCAACAGAAGTCACGAAGTAGCTGTGCCTTTAGGGGAACTGTTCTTTGGTTTCCCAGAGTCCCTCACCCACCCCATAACTCCCTAGTTGTCCATTATCATTTATCAACACATTTGCACTGTTGTTTTCCTTCTTAAGAGGCAAGTGAGAGTTTCTTGAACCCACATCATTATCAATCTAGGAAGATTAAAGGTGGATCAAGAGGGCCTTATATTTCAAGAAAAGTAGAAAACCACATTTCTTTGTGGTAATGAAAAAATGTTCCTACAATGTTTAATATGTAAATTAAATGAGTCTATTTTAAAAGGTTGCCACTTAAAGCTTTATAAGGAAACTGCCTGGCTTTACTCCTTTTTATTATCTGCCTGGTCCCTTCAGGATTTTGAGTTTGTAAGTCCTATAATAGAACACTTAAAACTGACACATTATGTCTCTAGGCTGCACTAACTGGGGCTTATTTAGATATACATAGGAATCTAATTTCATGTCCTTTTACTGAAAAAGGAAAAAAAAAGCCACTCCAATAATACTTCATTTAGAATATTTTATGTGTTATGAAACATTGACACTAAAAAAAAATTGTTTCACTTTCTCAAATTATATAATTTTGTTTTTAATTCCAGGATTGTAAGTGGAAAATGTATATGGAGATGGATGGGGATGAAATTGCAATAACCTACATAAAAGATGTGACATTCAACACTAACCTACCTGATGCGGAGATTTTAAAGATGACAAAGGTAGGGTTCTATTTACGGCTTAAAAGCTCTTTTGAATTCAGAGATATCAAACAAAGACATTAAAATACCCCAGCAGTGTGCTTTTGTGCTTGTCCATGCTCACATCAGCTCAGCCTCGAGCTGGCTGTTGAAAGGCACATTTTATTTAGCAGATTGAGATCATAATAGGTTTTTGTTAAAATTCCACTTATGCTGTGTGAACTAAAAAGCACTGCAAAAAGGTATCATTTAATTTTTTAAAAATTTTTTTCTTCTATATTTCTTTATGCTTACTCTGTCATTTATTAAAGGAAGGAAAATGTGAACGATGAAAATATTTACTTCAAATTTTGAGTACTTTTAAACTTTGGAAAACTTATACTTTCTTGGTTGAGAAAGACTTTCTTGGTTGAGGTCAATTCCCTAAAGGACTGAGATGAGGTTCATTATGAGGCACACATTGAAGTCTTAATGGCTTCCTTAAGTCCACACTATGAATTCCTGGAGTGACTAGAAAGCATGCTACTACTCCAGGGCCAGTGGGAAGCATGCTGAGGAAAACACTGAAGAAAGACTTGCGGAAATGCTTAGCTCGCTCCCCAAAATGGACAAAAAATTCAATTCTGTCCCAATCATACTGGAAAAATACATATGAGACTTCAATTGTAGAAGGTCAACAACTTCAGGTGAATAACCATGAAGTCAACAGGACAGTCACCCTGGCCTCACATAATCCGTTAACTGTGATACACTATTAACCAGGTCTTTGGTTTCAGTGAAGAAAGTGGGGCTTGTAGCAAAGAACCCAGGTACAAACATAAGTAGGGAACTAAAATGGTTCTTCAAAGACATGCATTAGAGAGAACACATTGCATTAGAGAGAAGACATTGTAAATGTGTTCTCTTCACAGGCATCAGAATGCTAAACAGCCAAGTCATTTTAATTTACAAGTGGACATCAAGCAGATTGATTTGATATTCATTGTTGGATTCCACTGTGTATCTAGGAGTTATTTCCATGGCATTATTTATCTATAAGGGTTATGACTTGGTTTTACCTTTTTCTTATTTTGCTGGGACATAATATGTTGTCTTGAAGACTGGAAATATATTTTCTTTCTTCCCCACCCATGCCGTGGAGTTGTAAAACTGAATATAAGTGTTTATGCTATCATGCCATACATACGAAATCACACAGCAACATTAACAGGCTTATAGGAAAACTAGAACTGGAACAGACCAATCAAAAGTTATAGAATTTTTAAACATCAACAGAAACAACAACAATCCTAATTTAAAACAAACAAACAACAACAACAAAAAACTAGCCCAGGTTGGGTGCAGTGGCTCATACCTGTAATCCCTGCACTTTGGGAGGCTGAGGGGAGCAGATCACTTGAGACCAGGAGTTGGAGAACAGCCTGGACAACATGGTGAAACCCAGTCTCTACTAAAAATACAAAAAATGAGCCAGGTGTGGTGGCATGCTCCTGTAATCCCAGCTACTTGAGAGGCCGAGGCTTGAGAATCACTTGAACCCGGGAGGAAGAGTTTGCAGTGAGCCAAGATTGCGCCACTACACTCCAGCCTGGGCAACAGAGTGAGACTCAGTCTCGAAGAAAACCTGGCCCAGCTAAATCTCTATCACATTTTCTTTGAACCCAGCCCACGGTCAGTCATTCCTTTGCAGCCTTAAACCTGAAGTGAAAGGGGGATGGGAGGAGAGTGCAGCTTATTTCTGAGGCCGTTTTCATCATAATTAAAATAGGATCGAAGGCACAGGCTTCCTCACTAATCCTTTGTTTTAATATAGTGGGAAAACATAACCACGGTTTCTTCACGTGTATGTGCAGCTTGGCTGGATAGTGTGATGTTATGGAAAGCAGAGGGATTGTTGAAGCCACTGAACCAGCCACGGCTTTACTCAAGGAAAGCACTTCTGGGTCTTCTCATATTGCTATGGATTTCTCTTAATTGTGGGAAAGTTTTCCAACGGATGCTTCAAACTTTAGCATGAATCAATGACATAATGATAGGACTGAGTGATAGCAAATGTTACATCGGAAAAGAAGATTGTGGGAGGCCGTGACTAGCTGTTTACAAATATACAAAAGGATGTCTTATGAAAAGCAAAACTCCAAACATTAGCATGTTGTGAGTGATCACATGAGAACCGACAAGGCTTTCATGATAATCTGATGTTATGCCCCTATTTGCTAATTGTGTATGGCACAACTGGCCTCAAAGAAACATACTATAGTAGAGCTGACTGTGTTATGGTACTACACCATCCTAACTTTTGTTTTTCAGCCACCATTTGTAATGGAGAAGTGGATTGTAGGAATAGCAAAAAATCAGACTGTGGAGTGCACTGTCACATATGAGGTAAGCTCTGGGGGCAAGAGGCTGGTGGCCCCACCAACAGTGAATGAATATAAATTTATCTGTTACCTCAGCATATAATTTATTGGAATGTATTGGGAGATAAACCAACCATCATGACCATGGGATCAATATAATTTATCTAACAACATGTTGGGAAGAAAAGAGAACAGGATAAACTTACCCAGATAGAGACTGAGGTAGTGCTTCATTCATTCATTAGTTATGGACTGAACACCTTCTGTATACCATGTCAGATGTTTGGTATTGGGGATACTAACACTTAATACTAATTTTTTTAAAATCAACAAGATCTTTGTGGCTGGTGGGACATACACCTTACAAGGTACATAAACCTAGTGGGAGTGGGTGGAAGGCAACAGTTATAGTACAGTCTTGGCACTCCTGGAGCTATTAGTGTGCACCCACCACCAAAGAGACATGCATTTCATTCATTCATCCAATTCATTCATTCAAGAAACATTTATTAAGGATCTACCATGAACCAGGCACTGTTACAGGTGCTTATACCAGTTTGATCACACTAACTTCATGTAAATCAATACTGAAAAATATCGGCCCGGCGCAGTGGCTCACACCTGTAATCTCAGCACTTTGGGAGGCTGAGGTGGGCAGATCACTTGAGCCCAAGAGTTTGAGACCAGCCTGGGCAACATTATGAAACCCTATCTCTACGAAAACTACAAAAAGCAGCTGGGTGTGGTGGCACATGTCTGTGGCCCCGGCTACTCGGGAGGTTGAGGTGGGGGGATTGCTTGAGCCCAGGAAGTTGAGGCTGCAGTGAGCCGAGATCACACCACTGTACTCTAGCCTGGGTGGCACAGTGAGACCCCGTCTCCAGGATAAAAAAAAAAAAAAAAACTGAAAGATATTATTATCCTCATTTTGCAGATAGGAAAAACAGGCTCAGAGAGATGAAAGGAAGGCCTGAGGTATGAGGTACTCACTGACAGAATTGTTGAAGTCACTTCCATGTTTTCTGACTATAAAAAAACACTTTCTGCTCTTCCCTGGCTACCCTGTTAGCTCCCAGTGGCTGCAGTAAGATGAAGTCCACCTCAAAGAGGACTTTGTGAGTGTGGCATTTTGATGGTTTCCTGGGCTGCCAGGATTTGGCTTTTCAGTATTAGAAATACAAACTCTGGGCCAGGCATGGTGGCTCATATCTGTAATCCCAGCACTTTGGGAGGCTGAGGCAGGTGGATCACCTGAGGTCAGGAGTTCGAGACTAGCCTGGTCAACATGGTAAAACCTCATCTCTACTAATAATACAAAAATTAGCTGGGCATGGTGGTGCATGCCTATAATCCCAGCTACTCAGGAGACTGAGGCAGGAGAATCGCTTGAACCCAGGAGGTGGAGGTTGCGGTGAGCCAAGATTGCGCCATTGCACTCCAGCGTGGGAGACAAGAGCAAAACTCTGTCTTAAAAAAAAAAAAAAAAAAAAAAAAAAAAAAACCTCTGGCCAGGCTGGAAGCCAAAAAGTTTTACAGCAGTTATTCATCCTTACCTGCTGGGGTGCACAGGTTGTCAGGCATCTGAGAAGAAGTTACATTATTTGTCAAAGCATTGCTTGTGAGGTACAAAACCCAAACAAAAGAGGCTGGTTGGTCTTGAGGAAGTTGGAATCCAGACTAAAGTCTGTTAACTGGTCCTCACTACTCAGGAAAAGCCCTCTTGTTAGTAATCGGACAATTAGAACAACCAGATTCTGTCTCTGCCTGCCTTAGACAGTTTTGGAGACAGCACACCCAGTTCTTTTTCTTCTTCTCTCTCCCTCCTCCTCCTTTTTTAGACCCCATGATGATATGCCACTTTTGTCTGGGTTTTTCACTTCAGAGTTTTTAAAAACAGATTTCCCTAACCGTATTGAACCTGGAGACTCTTTAATTGACACTGATTGGTGACAGCTAGTGAGGAGGGAGATCTCAGGACAAGAAAGTGATGTGTCTTGACCTAGTGTCCTCTTCCTGGTCCCCATTTCTTACTTTTTGATCCTGTCTCACTTTTGCATCTGAGACCGTTCCCCCTCCATCTAGGTGATTCACCCCACCGCATTCACTCAGTTCCCTTGATGATCCGAATTCACTCTGAGGCAAACATGGTGGTCACATTTTCATTTATTGAACAAAATATCTGCCTTCAAGTACTATAAATAGAAGAGGTAAATTTTTATTTCTTATTAAACAAAGAGGTAAGTTGAGATTTGTCAAATATAATAAATTCTGGGAGAAGACAACCATATTTTTAGCTACTATAGTTTACTAAGAAATATATGTTACAATTCATTAAGGAATAAGTGCTATAACCCACTAAGAAATAAAGTGGTTAAACATTTTCTTTTCATCAAATGAGCATATTTGGGCCAACCGTTCAGAATATTTTCCTAGTGCATTATGATAGTGTTCTAAGAAGTGAAATTGAAGTGATATAATAACCTGGATGTCTTTCTTTCCTATTTTATATGTGTTTGTCTATTTGGTTATATGTGTCTTTTTTTTTTTTTTTTTTACCAGAGTGATGTTAGAACTCCAAAAAGCACTAAACATGTCCATTCGATTCAGTGGAGTAGAACAAAACCTCAGGATGAAGTGAAAGCAGTCCAACTTGCCATTCAGACATTATTCACCAATTCAGACGGCAACCCCGGAAGTAGGTCTGACTCAAGTAAGTTAGTGTTCCCGTATTAGATGTGTGCTAGATTCCAGAAACTTAATTATGACATTTTCAGATGATCTGAAGACTCAGAGGATACCACCTCAATCAGTTAAGATCTATCTTTGAGCTTCAAGTAGCAGAAAACCCAGTTTCAACTGCCTTACTTCAATAGTTTCCCAAGTGTGGCCCCAGGACCAGCAGCATCGGGATCACCTGTGAACTTACTAGAAATCCAGATCCTCAGGCCCAAACCTAGACTTACTGAACCAGAACTCTGGGGGTAGGACCTGCAATCTGCATTTTAAGGAGCCTTCCCGGTGATTAAGAACAACTCTAAAGTCCTTAAACCACTGATTTAAACTGTAATAAAATTTATTATCTTCCATAACAAGAAGTTCAGAGGCAGGGCAGGCTCCAGGTGCAGTAAGATAAGCCGGCTCAACCATATTCAGATAGTGGAATGAACCTTCCTTTCTTTCCGCCCTGCCATGCTCAATAGGCTGCCTTTGCCCTCGGCTCCTCTCCTGTTTACAGTCATCACACAAAGATATGGCAATGCCCAGAGGAAATAACGGGTTAGGTCCCTACCTGTTCTTATATATAGGAGTAAGGAAAACTTTTCTAGAACCCCCCAACAGACTATCCCTCACCAATTCTGCTTTGGCCAGAATAGAGCAACTTGTCCGTCCCTAAACTAATTAAAGTCGATCCCTGGAGCCAGAATGCGGTCAACTCTCCCGATCACATGGCTACATGGAGGGGGTTGGAGACTGAGCAAAATCAGGGTTCTATTGGAAGCCAAAATTCCAGAGAAGTCAATGGGAGGGAAAGAAGGCATTGTGATTCTGTATGATACTGCTCATGTGAAGTATCTACAGTAGTCAAAGTCATAGAAACAGGAAGGAGAAGATAGTTAACAAGTGGGAGTCGGGGGCAGGGGAGAAGGGAAGGGAAAAGGGCAAAGAGGAAGGTAGAGATTAGTGGGTCTAGAGTTTGGGTGTTGCAAGATGAAACAATTATAGAGATCTGTTGCACAACAATGTGAATATACTAACAGTACTGAACTATAGGCTTAAAAATGGCTAGGATGGGCCGGGCGCGGTGGCTCACGCCTGTAATCCTAGCACTTTGGGAGGCCGAGGCGGGCGGATCAGAAGGTCAGGAAATCGAGACCATCCTGACTAACACGGTGAAACCCCGTCTCTACTAAAAATACAAAAAACTAGCCGGGCGAGGTGCCGGGCGCCTGTAGTCCCAGCTACTCAGGAGGTTGAGGCGGGAGAATGGCGTAAACTCGGGAGGCGGAGCTTGCAGTGAGCCGAGATCCGGCCGCTGCACTCCAGCCTGGGCGACAGAGTGAGACTCTGTCTCAAAAAAAAAAAGCTAGGATGGAAAAATGTGGTTGTTACCACAATAAAATACACACATACATACAATAACAACAACAAAAGAAGGCGTTGTGATGCATTGAAGCCTGGGAGGAGTCTCTGGAATTGTCTGGGCTTGTCACTCACCTCAGAGGTATGGGTCACCTGTGCGCAGCCAGTGAGGGAGACGGAGACGTGCATGCTCTGATACCCTCCACACGCGTCATCTGCGCGAGCAGAGGGTGGAGTAGCCGAGGAAGCTGAGGCTGGGAGGACCACCCAGGAACTCCAGCAACATTGTTCAGGCTCGGGGGAGCAGAAAAGATCTCAGGTGTGAGGAACTTGCTTATTCACTGAAATATAGCTTACTAAATGGTCCTTGTCAATTCACCATTTTCTTTTATCTTAACTTCTTCCTACTTGCCAACGCAGCTTCATTTTTTTGTGCTGAAAATACTTCTTATTCCCGAGCCTCAGGATCTCTCCTCTGGACACATGAACGGTCTTTCTTTCAAACAATCTCTAGCTGTCTCAATCTTCGGAACCTCATTTATTTTATCTGCATTTAGGGTCCTTGAGGTTTTAAAAGTGCAGGTTGCAAAAAAAACCTTTTGTTTACTAAACTTGCCCCTGCCACCTGGACATACTTTCTAGAAGTGAGAACACAACTATGTAGGAAGAAGATGGGATTTAGATGCAGAAGGACTTGGTATTATTGACTGAGTGATCTTGGGCAAGTTATTTGACCTCTCAAGCTTCCTCATTTATAGAATAAGACTATTAGTGTTTACCTAAGAAGATTATCGAGAGGATTAAATCAGATAGTGTAAGGAAAGCCCATGGAACAATGCCAAGCACATAGCTTAGATTGACTAAGTGTAAATGTCCTTATTTTTTAAAGTATTTGTAATAAAGGAAATGTCCTTATACGTAGCCTAGAATTTCTATGAATGGTAAAGCTTAGAGCATCCCAAACAGCCTTGAATTATCCTAAGACAGGCGTATGAATTAGGCATGCAGCTTTACTGTGGCTTCAAAGATGCTCATTTCCATTTCTCCCGCAGGTGCTGATTGCCAGTGGTTAGATACTCTGAGGATGCGGCAGATTGCATCCAACACTTCTTTACAGCGTTCCCAGAGCAATCCTATTCTGGGGTCACCATTCTTCTCATACCTTGATGGCCAGGATTCCTATGCTGCTGCTGTGAGACGGACCCAGGTGCCCATTAAGTATCAACAGATTACACCTGTGAACCAGTCCAGAAGCTCCTCTCCTACTCAGTATGGACTGACCAAAAACTTCTCTTCCCTGCATCTCAGCTCTAGGGACAGTGGCTTTTCCAGTGGCAATACTGACACCTCTTCAGAGAGGGGTCGATACTCAGACAGAAGCAGGAACAAATATGGACGTGGTAGTATATCACTCAATTCTTCTCCTAGAGGAAGATACAGTGGAAAAAGTCAGCATTCCACTCCTTCAAGAGGAAGATATCCTGGAAAGTTCTACAGGGTTTCTCAGTCACCACTCAATCCTCACCAGTCGCCTGACTTCAAGAGAAGCCCTAGGGACCTCCACCAACCCAACGCCATACCAGGGATGCCTTTGCACCCTGAGACTGACTCAAGAGCCAGTGAAGAGGAGAGCAAAGTCAGCGAAGGGGGCTGGACAAAAGTGGAATACCGGAAAAAGCCCCACAGGCCCTCCCCCGCCAAAACCAATAAAGAGAGAGCCAGAGGGGACCACCGTGGATGGAGAAACTTTTGATGAATTGAACTACATGAGTTTTTCTAAGCCGGTTAAAAAAAAAAAAAAGAAAGAAAGAAAGAAATGTCATGGTTTTTGGTAATATGATCCCTTCATATTGAATTAACAAAAAGACAACACTTCCATTTTTGGGATTGGGAAATACCTTCTAATTGAGACTATAGCCAAACCAGGGTCAAAATTATGGATATTGGTTACCCAGTGATCATAACTAGGCTTGAAAATCACTACACGTATTTTCTCCCTTGAGTGAACATTCTTAGAGGAAAGGTTATGCCATCTTTTTACCCTAACCACTGATATTCTGGTTAACAGGGCCAGGACGAGGGTAAGGCAAATAAGGTCAACAAAAAAAATCAAATGTTTAGGTAATGACAGAATGAGTGTTACTGATTTTTCCTTTTGACTGAGGATGCAATATGGCCTGGCAAGGCACTGTTACTGGTCTTGTCTTTAACATTTATATTTTGTTCATCATAATTTTTTTTCATTTGTTTTATTTTTTAAAATATTGCATTAAAATATCATTTAGCCTGATTATCGAGTTTTTTGGTTTGGGGTTTTTTGTTGTTTCTTTTTGGTTTTCTTTCTTTCTCCCCCTTTTTTTTGATGTCCCCTTAAATTTTGTGCCCAAGACAGGTACCTCACTCATCTCACCCTTTGGCTCAGCCCTGCTGGTTAGTATTTAGTATTTATTTTAGTAAGATACTTGTGTTTTTATGATGGTCAGAGTTGAACTGATCTGGCTTGTCATTTTTCAGTAATAAAAAAAGTTACTGAATTTAATGTTGATTATGATGCATATCTCATTCATATACAATTTATCAGAAACCAAAGATTTAAATTGCCTGGATTTGTGGTTCTTTCTCTCCCTAAGTTCCCAGGGACTGCTTTCAAATATTATTTTCTAAATTTCAACAAAGAAGGAGCAAAGAGGATAAAACAACACTCCATAAAGGCCTCTTGGGATGTCAGAAATCTAAAATCTAAAAGAAAACAGACACAGAGCAAGATAATAACGTCACAAGCTAAAAGCCAGAAAAATTTAAAATTACCAACATCCTTGTTGGAGTCAGACAGTAAATATCAGCCTTGCAGCAAGACGGCTCTGAGCAGCTGCGGGCAAAGAGGTAAACCGGTGGGGGTGCCAGGAGACTGTCTGCAGCTTAGGGCAGAAATGGTGGGATCCAACTTGTGAAATGCTTCATGTTTTACAAACCAACAAGTCAGGTAACAACAAACTTATTCTATGTCAAATCAATAAATGTTACTTTCAATATTCTGAGATTCTGTGCAACATTCAGTAACCCTGTTTAGCATTCACTAAACCCTACATAGGATTCTCAGTGCTCTGTAGAAATCCAAAGGACACTCTTCTAATTCTGTGGGTTTGAATTCTTTTTTAAAAGAAGCTGGTCATCTGAGTACATGCATATGTTCTCAGGGTAGCTGCCCTGCTGTGTGTGATACATTACTTGAGGCCTGGTGGGGAAAACTGTATTTCGGTAGCATTGAAGTCAAGGTGGGCGGGGCATGGTGGCTCACACCTGTAATCCCAACACTTTGGGAGACTAAGCCAGGAGGATTGCTTGAGCCCAGGAGTTCAAGGCCAGCCTGGGTCACCAGCCTATCTGGGTCAGATAGGGAGACACCATCTCTACAAAAAAATACAAAAATTAGTTGAGCATGGTGGCATATGCTTGTAGTCCCAGCCACTCAGGAGACTGAGGCAGGAAGATCACTTGAGCCTGGCAGGTCAAGGCTGTAGTAAGACGTGACTGCACTGCAGCCTGGGCAACAGACCAAGACCCTGTCTCGATCAATCAATCAATACTAAAGTCAAAGTTATAGGAAGTGACCTTTATTTACAAGGGAAGTTGTCATCACCTAAACATTGATTCAACAACTTGATTTTCTAAAAGTTTTATTGTGTGCCAAATGCATTTACAAGCAAAGCAATGGGAATGGTGTAATCAGTTCGTGAGGGCCTCTTTTCCATCATGTGTAACCAACTTCTAAGGTTTTCAGCTCCACCATGATCCTTTCTCATGAAGCTATCAAGCATAGCCTGTTTTCAATTATTTTTCCATTTTGTCCTTCATTTAAATTTAAAGAAAAGTAGACTAATGCAAAACATGCTATCTTAGTATCATGCTGTTTCTAAATAAGCAATAAAATATTTTCTGTGATTAGAATTTTTGGATAAATAGATGAACAGTCTTGACTGAGTCACTCTGAAAGGAGTGGAAAGTATGGCCTTAATTGTGAAACAAAATTTGCATTCTGGGGAATTATTGAAGAGTCTGGTTTAAAAGGCGCTATAAAAATCATTGCTAGTTTCATGCTACTTTCTTCCATCTTGCTTTCGGTTATGGGGTGGGGAATCCAAGCTGATAATAAAGTAACTCAATGATCTCGTCCCTATTTAGTGCAGTCAGTGACTGCAAAGAGGTTATTCCACCAGCCCACAAAACTGACCACTTCGTAATATCTCACGGAAAAATACTTGTCAGCGTCAATGCTCCCAGTCAAAATCAAAGTAAGAACATCTGCAGTCTGCTTCTTGACTGTAAAGAAATAATAAGTTGGATGTTCTCTTTTTTTTTTTCCTAATGATGTTTATTCACCAAAAGTCACTTGCCAGGTTGAAAGATGAACGTTAAGTCAAGAGCAAAGCAGGGATTAACAGGACTTTTTTTTTCCCCATAAAAATAAATCAGTAGCCAACAATGAGAAACTGTATTAGTTGCAAGGGGTGAGGTTAAGACCAAAAAAAAAAGAAGAAGAAGAAAGGAAAAAGGAAAGAAAGGGATATTAGGATTAGGAGAAAAAAATTACAGTAGAAACAAATCGAAGGAGTATATCTTGGACAGGGCACCTCTAAATGTGGAGATTTTCCCTAAATAGGCTTCAGAGCTAGTTTGGAAGCACCAAGTCTATATTGGTTGCTACCATAGAGGCGGTCTTTATTCCAGGCAAAGCCCAGAGAAAGCAGGATGGTTAGTCTTTGCACAGTCACCGCATTAGCAATACAATGGACCTAGGCTGAATTAATTCGATAATTCCAAAACTGTATAGGAGAACTGGGGATTTTTTTTTCAATCAAGGACTACTTTAGAAGGAAATATAATTATCCATTGTTTTCAGCCAATTTATAATGAACATAGCTCATAAAAATAATAAAAATTAAAATGTAATATTTAAAGCTATTTACAGTAAAATTCAGAACAGTAAAATCTGACCTGGGAAAATGAGGTTCTTACCTAATTTATAGTAACTATAAAGGGAAACTCACAGTGGCAGAAGCTATAATTGGTAACATGCAGTATGAATAACAACAAAAAATTGATATGCAACATCTTCATTGTAAAATTTAAATCGAAAAGAATTGATCCCATAGGAAAAAACCAGTACAATAAAAAATGTGGCCAGGTGTAGTGGCTCACACCTGTTATCCCAGCACATTGGGAGACTGAGACAGGAGGATCCCATAAGCCCAGGAGTTTGAAACATGGACAACATAATGAGACCTGGTGTCTACGAAGTGTACAAAAATTAGCTACATGTTTGTAGTCCCAGCTACTGGGGAGGCTGAGGTGGGAGGATCCCTTAAGCCCAGGAGGCTGAGGCTGCAGTGAGCCAAGATCATGGTACTGCACTCCAGCCTGGGTGACAGAGTGGGACCTTGTCTCAAAACAATAATAATATACAAATGGGAAACAGCATTATGTTGGATAGGAAACTAATCGGGAAATTAAATTGACATAATGACATTCAATCCATGAAATGCTTTCTTGACAAAAGCATTTCTCAATATTTATATAATTCAGATCAAAATGTTTTATGTATAAGTAGAGTCAAAATGTCTCCAGGATCAAAACAGTAGGGTCAGAATCCCCAGTAGTTCAAAATGGCAGGGTCAAAACATCCTGGATACACCTCAAGGCATTCTTACTTAACTGCAACTTTTCCAATTCAGTTGTACCAAAATATTTTATATTTCATAAGCTTTTTAAGTACCTTCTCTACAATTTATCTTTACACTTCAACAAGTTCGTACAGATGTGGTATGTTTCTACAACTCTGGTTCTCAGAAACTACTTGGTTTTAAGATGTCATGATGTAGCTGTGCCACCTTGTTCAGGATGTAACCTCCCTGAAATTTTAAATTACAGAGACTGCACTTAGGAGGCGTATCAACTCTCTTGCCATCATTGGATCTGAGAAACTACAGTGAAGCTGGGGTGCCCTGGGGAAATCAGAGCGAAAGACCTGGACTCAGCTTCTTACTATCTGCTGTTACTGGAACTGGTTTATGAGATGCTAAAGTGGAAAAAGTGCCAAATGTATGGTCAAAACTGTCAAGGCTTTAGTGTACCAGCTGACCAAATATTACATGACCGAACCCACAGACTTATATGAAGAATGAAGACTTACAACCTCATAGTTCATTCCACACTAAAATGAGGATTAAGTTTCTATAATCTATGTCCCATTACTCAAGTCTACCAGAGAAACTCCTTGCCTACCACCCTGACAAAACTTACTCAGCTTTCGGGGTCCTGCTGAAGTCCTGCCTCCCTGGAGGCCTCCCCCGACAGCTCCAGCCACTTCTCCATTCTGCTCCTCTCGGAGGCCCTTTATCACACACTCTCTGGCACTCTTACTTCACCCTGACAAACCCACTCCCTTGCAGGTGGTCTGTGAGTACAGTGCAGCGCTGCCCAAGACCTTGACAATAAGGGAAGTAAGACTAAGCTCTGAGAGTTCATTGATGAAATGGCTACAATACCTCCCAGGCATGAAAACATGCTGCAGGTACGAAGCAATCCAAAGAGAGCACGAGTCTTTTACAGGCTGTGGTGAGTTGGAACAGCCAAAGCTGGTCATCAGTGGAAGCCTAGAAGAAGGCGACCCATAAAGGAAAAGGTTAGCCATGCTAGGCAAGCGAGACCTTCAGGCAGGGCACGACCTGCCCAGTCTCAGGTGGTGGCCCTGTAAACTAGATAATATTATCCAGCATAATCCCTCCCAAAGTGATGTGAGAATCCATTCAGCCTGAGAAATATGTACCTGGTGTCGAAATGGTCCTATAACCCCGCTCCTGTGAACCTCTTTTGCATCACCCCAACAGTGAAGCAACCACAGATCACACTGCAGCCACACTGAATTAGCTGCCAAACCCTCCTTTGTCTTCAAAACTTTGTGCTCGTTCTCTCCCCCGACCCCCGAACCAGCTGCCCCTGTATTGTCTGCTTAAGTCACCTTTCAGCTCTCTACTGAGACATTACCACCTCCAGGAAACCTTTCCAGATCCCCATGTCTGAGTTAGGCCCACCCTTGTAGCTCACATAGAAACTTTCGGTTACTCAACCATATTTATCCCCCTCTATTGTAATAAATCTCTCAAGATTTGCTCATCTGTATGCCTCACTGGACTATTGGCTTCATGAAAGCAGGATTGTGCCTATCTCGATCCCCTGTGTATCTCCAATATATAGTTGATAATCTGTCTCCAATACATAGTTGATAATCTATTTGCTGAATGGATTGATTACCTTATTAATCAGGCTAACACACATCAAATCATCTAAATTATTGTTCTAATTTCATGTTCATTAAGTGACCTTAACAGAAGTCTCCAATCCAGCTAGGAGTTAGGTCTAATGTTGGCATAATCACCATTCTAATTTTATACATCAGTCTCCTGTGAGCTTTGCTAATGTGAGTTGGCCTCTAAGTACAACTCTGAGACGCTGATTAAGTTTTGGGGTGTATTACTGAGAGCAGATTCTAGGTATGCCAAGGACACCAAGGGAAAGGCCAGTCTATTTTTCTTAAGAAGCCCCTTGTATCATAGTGAACTGTGCTCATTTTCCATTTTGAATTTTGACATCTAGCATAGCACTATAAATACAAGTTCTCATTAAACACCTGTCACACGAACAAAAAAGAATAGAAATACTATGTATGTTCACACAGTCGTGTGTGACTCTACTTATAGATAAAATATTTTGATCCAAATTATATAAATATTGAGAGATGTTTTTATCAAGAAAGCATTTCATGCAATGAATGTCATTATGTCAATTTAATTTCCCGATTACTGTGAAATTCGCACACAGATATGTGTGAAATTCACACATAGACATGTGAATGTCCTTTTGGACATTCATAGAATCTCACTATTTGGCTTTCCTTTTCAGAGGCCCAAAGTTCTGTCTCTTTAATGAATATAAATTGTTCCTGATCCGAGTGCCCTCTATGGTCCTGCTGT